ACCAAAATAAAAGAAATAACAGCGGCCAGTCAGAGGAAAGGAAAATACCTCTACTGGGGCCGAATATAGAAGTGATCTTCGCAGTAATGAATGCTACTTCTCGTAAGCGAAGCATTGAAATTGTACCCAAAAAATAAGTAAGATATTGTTAATTAGGGAAACGTAAAATGCACTAACTGCAAGGCTATGAAGCTGCAAGTTTAAAACGAAGGCAAGAGATTTACTTAACCAGAAACATCCTGCAGTGTTACTAAATACAAGTAAACGGAGGGCAAGGTTTTCTCTCTCAACAATTTTAAATCACCTGCAAAGCTACGCGATTGTAGCAAAACAAAACAGAGCTATAACAAACTTTAAAGAACCTGCTAATTCTTGTGCAAAATCCCCAAATTATTCGCATCAGATAGGGGAAGTATGCTCCCGAAACTAGAACATAATTTAATTGTGAGAAATCACAACTTACCGCGTGTCAAGCTGAGATTGTTAAGATACACCCAATCTTTCGAAATTTCTCTGCATAAGATCAAATTATGGACTACACATACCGTTATTTTGAAAGCAAAGGAATAAGACTTGGCCACACACGATTGAAAAAAATGGCATGGTTTCTAGGAGGGAACGGAGTGGGGACAAGACATTTGCTGGGTGGGTCAGCCGTCGTCAACAGAGCATTTAGAGGGGGCTATAGGAAATTGACTGCCAATTAACTGTTCATGAGGGGAGGGGAGGGAAGGGGGTGAAGGGAAACTTAAGAACATTACAGAGCCTCAAGTGGGTATCGAGTAAATTTTATCGTGACGCAATCAAAATCTCCCTACTCCTGTGCAAAATATGTATTTGTCCGACCCTATAAAAAAAATTCGTTTTTGAAGATTAAGTAACGCTTAAAATAATTGAACATAGTTCAGACTCTTAAAATATCACTGGAGAGGAGTCAGTTTTGTATAGCTTAAGTAAAAGTTTACTCAACAAGCTTAGCTGACACTGACAATGTATTCTTGCGCAATTTGCTGATGGTTACAAGTGTGATCCTCGTCTACAAAGACTTTTTAAAATACTATTTACATTATAAATTTTCTCACCCGATGCAATCGAAATCAGGTTTTTTTAAACTTCCATGTAGTACCATTTGCCGTTACTTGAGTGTGAATAAATGATTCTACCTAAATGGTATCAAACGTACCGCTAACCGAGTGTGGAAAAGGAAGAGGCGATTTTTCTGTCCAAATACCTCTCAAACAGACTATGATACAGGGCTGGAACGAATATTCTCTACCAAATATTTAATCATCATTTAGATGTCAAGATCTGCAGCTTTTACCAAGAGAAGTAAAGTTGGATTATTTTCCACAGCATTTCCATTGAGCCTTCAACTGCCAGCTGCTACTAACTTTTAACAACACTCCTTTAGCGTTTCCTAAAATATAGAATGAATAAAAGAAAGAGGTTTACTGGAATGAAAAATATAGGGTCCTGTCAATCATCCTGGTGTAGCCCTGGCGGTGTCATTGTGTCATGTTCTTAAAGAAAAAAAAGGGAAAGTTCCTCCTTCCGTCCAAGATGGGCGCTGAAAAGATGTCGGGATGTCAGAACGAAATTATATTGCTATACTGTACCCTACAGTTCACCAGAACCCCATTCTAAAGCAGTGGTAGTTCTCCTGGTCACCTAACCCTTTACACCTTAAGATCAGTACACATTTCCTAACGTGCTAACAAGGAGAATTTTGTGATTAAAAATCGAAGAGCTTGTTTAGTTGGTGATAATTTCCTTCATTCTCCTGACCTTAATGTGTGACACAGGGGTGACATTGTAAGGAGAAATCAGATGCTATTCACTCTTTGGGGTCAATGGTTCAATGCTGTAAAAACTCAGATAAACTAAGAAAGGGATGAAAAGTTCATCAACGAATTCGTTTAACTAACACGTAAAAGTAAAGGGTTATCCGCATACTGGAATTTTCCTTGTAGTCAAGTGATGTACTTAAACAACTGAAGATATTGAGACACATAGGCGATTTCTTAGAGGAAATTTTAAGTTCCCTTTTAAGTTAAGAATTGCAGCTGACTAGAATGAGTCCCCTTCGTTAATTAATTCTTCTTGGAAAGTCATTTTTTCATAAAGAATATAAATTTGAACAACACGAACACGAAGGTTTCGTCTTCAACATCGACATCGTCATCGTCACCGTGATATGCATCTAATATGCGATATCGTCACATGCTTTGCATGGATGAAGTGCCTTGGGGACACTACTCATTACTTACTGTGCGCAATGGACTCAACTTAAGCTCGGTTTACTCGATCTGGAACCCTTGCCACTGGTGTAGTTCAAACTAAAATATTGCGATTGTGGAAGCACAAAAATTACCTCCCCAGTTTCCCTTTATGAAGTCAGATTCAGGATCGCCAGTGTTGGTATGATTTTCCTCAATGGCCTTCTTCTCCACCAACCCTGAATCTCTCTTAGCGCTCTTCCAAACATCTTCTTCTATTCCGTACCAGGCTCCTTCTTTGCCTTGTTTGCGCATGTACGCCCGGTTGTTGCGTGCAATGCCATACAAGTCGTTTCCAACCTGACCAATGACATATCCCACTTGTTGGTCCATAGCTAGATAGATAAATGGAAAGAAAACAATTTGGACAAAATTAATGAATAGAGCAAGTCAAAAGAACGAGTCAAGGAACCTGGCTTACCTAAGTTTCTCTTTCAGACAAATAACAAAATATGGCATTACCCGTGTAGTAACGTTATAAGAAAAAAATAAAAGAGGAAGAAAAGAGGAAGAAAGAGGAAATAGAGAAAAAGAGAATGGATGCCCCAAGAGGCTTTAATCAAAGCCCCAAGCACCACAAAGAGTGGAACCGTATAGTTGCAATTTTAGCGATTCACACACTTCCACTCTAATGGACTAACATCATGATCGAGTAATGCCTACAATCCGGAGTTTCAGTGGTAGCTTAAGAATACTATGACGCCATACTCTCATCCAAGCAGACCCAAAACTAAAACTTGAAGTTGCAACATCGTCTGTCTTGCGTTCTTGCCCTTCAACTTGTCTGCTTGTTTGATCTAAAGTTCCACTGGTTCACTATGATGCTAATTATCCTTTTGATAAGGCTTTTGTTGATCTTGGTCTTTCTTTAATCTTTGGAACAATAAATGGAACAACTCTAAATTCATAACTAAACGACCTCTTAATCTCTCTCTTTCTTTACTAGAACTTTATGTAAAGGAAATTGAAGCGTATCTACTTTACCAGTCCAGGATAAACCTTGGTCGGCTGTTGAGAAGCAACTTGACTGTAACCTAAAGTAGGAAAGGAGATAACTGGAAAGCTCAGACGACTCGTATTGACACGTATGGATTGTATAAAACGGGTTTTTCATGAAGTTTCACCCTGTGAAATAAAAGTTCTCTTCCGGCGAGTAAAACCTGAGAGTCTGTAAGTGTTTTCCTGGTATTTTTTTGTGAAGGGTAGGCACATACAATTTTTGTTTTCATCTGATGGGGTATTAACGGACAAGTGACTTATATTTAGGAATTTTCATAGCGAGAGGATAAATCTTGGAGGAAGAGGCATTTTCACAGGATGTATCGCTTGAGAGGGAAATAATTTAGAGGGCATCATAGCTGTGTTAACGTTTTTTCCACATGCTGACCCCAAAGCTTTCTTAATTGAAAGCTGTGAAATCTGATGCCGGAGATTTACCTAAAAAAACGGCAATAAAGTAAATGGATTCGGATTAGCTAGTCACAGGATGTCTTTTGATGGCCAGGAGATGTTTAACTAATTAAGTCGTTTTTAGTCTGTGGCTGATCAAAAAGATAAGAAACAGCCTTTTCATCAAGGACAAACTGGAGTTGGACTGAAATCTTAAACTTGTAAAGAAAATTTATTTATAACAGACAACACTGACCTCTCGTTTGATTTCTGGCACACGTATAAGATATCATTAGTTACATCAACTAGAAATCCTCTGGTATAAATCTCTAAAATGGAAAGAGCAAACGATGGTAATTGAACTTACTGGAGTGTAATTTGTATCGGTAATCACATGATTTCGAGTGCAATTTGGAATAAATAAGCACGAGTAAATTTTTTTAAAGACTAACAAAATAGCACGAGCCCGTAGGGCGAGTGCAATTTGTGGTCTTTGAAAAAATTAACAAGTGCTTGTTTATTCCAAATTGCACGAGAACAATCATGTGATTACGTGTTAATAATATACATGGAAAAATACGAGATGGCTTATCATAATTAAACATAAGCACAGCGCGCGCGTCGAGTGCAAAAATAATTTATTCAAACCTTGCTTTCGGTCAAAACAACCGCGAACGATCAAAACAATAATAAATTGTGTAATGATATCTTCACATCTTTAAGGTGCGAAAAAGGTCAAAGTCTGGCTAAACAGTTCAAGGAATTGTTTAGTCTGTGTCCGAATCACTTTCGATAAAATGGAATCGTCATTTTTGTTTTTAATTTCGGCGTGTGATCGCTCGAGCAAAGTGTTAAGCTGGGTCGGCTCGTAATTTTCGATTTCCTCGGCAATTCCCTTCTCTAAACACCAATTTTTCCAAACTGACAACCAAAGAGCAGTGCTTTTTACAGTGTTTTCGTTGTTTAAGCCGCTTTTCAGCTGCGGTAGCGAAAGAAAGCCAACTTAAAACACCGGCCATTGTTTCGCTCGCAAATTTTCAAATTTTGTTGCGACATCCAA